CGACAACACTAGTGGCGTTTGTCAGGTACTTCTTCAAGTCGGTTAGGGAAAATTCGCATTATTCTTTCCACAGAAAGTCTATGGCTTTCTTCAACAATTGGAAAAATGGTTTGCATTTATCCGAACTTCGGCTAATAAACCTGTTCAGGGTTATTGCCTTATCGGTCAAAATCTAGACTTGTTTTACTGTTGTCGGGCTTTTCAGGTCAAGAATGGTCTTAATCTAATCTGGGCTTGCTTCAATTCTCCTATTGGTTACCAAGTACTCGAGGAACTTACCGGATCCAACTCTAAATGCACACTTTGAAGCATTGAGTCGAAGCCAATATGTTTTCAATATGTCAAAGACCTCTTTCAGGTCAGCCAGATGATTCCCAGGTTCTTTCATTTTAACAACCATATCGTCAATGTAGACTTCCATTGTCCTCCTAATTAGATGCTTAAACATCTTAGTAACCAATCTTTGGTATGTCGCTCATGCATTCTTCAGCCCATAGGGCATTACTTTGTAGCAATAGAGTCCTTTGGAGGTGATGAATATTGTCTTTTGTTCGTCTGGGGCATACATTGCTATATGGGGATATCCTTTGTATGTATCTAGAAAACTCATCCTCTCATGCCCTGATGTGGCATCCACCTGCTGGTGAATCTTCGGTAGAGGAAAGATGTCCTTGGGGCAAGCCTTGTTCAGGCTTATGAAGCCCACGCAGATTCTTCACTTGCCATTCTTCTTCTTTACCACCACCATATTGGACAACCACGTAAGGTAGTTTACTTCTCGGATTGCCTGTGCTTCAAGTAATTTGTCCACTTCCTCCTCAACTGCCTACACATGTATTAATGTCGGCTTTCTTGCTCTCCGAATGACAGGTTTGGCTAACCTGTCCACGTTAAGTCTGTGATAGGTGACCTCGGGGTCGATCCCTAACATCTCATAAAGTGTCTAGGCAAACACCTCTATGTTCTCTCTTAAAAAAGCCTTCAGTTCTCTTTCTTCTTCCTCGGCTAAGCCAGATCCGAGAAGAAAGAATCGTTCATCATTGTCTTCTTGCACCAGAACTTTTTTCAAAGGTTCTTCGCTCTTCTTAGCAGGTTTTTTGCCAACATCATCCAAGACCTCTCGGCCTTCGTCTTCAATCTCTGTTATCTATATTTCCCTTATATTGCAAGTATACTTCATTGCTACCATGAAGCAACTTTTCGCCTGCACTTGGTCCCTTCGTATCTCTTCAATCCCTTGTTTGGTTGGAAATCGCAATAGTTGGTGCAACATTGAGGGAACAACATTCATCGCATACAACCAAGGTCTTCGTAGAATGACATTGTATGGGAAGGGGGTGTCTATTACAATAAACTCGGTACTCACCTTCTTGGTTTCTGCCTACACCTCCAAACTCGTGGTTCCTAGTGGCCATGTGGAGGTCCCATTGGATCTAACCATTAAGCTGTCGGATTACCCTAGATGATCCTGATGGAGGCCAAGCTCATTGTAACATCTGATATACATGATGTCACAAGAGCTGCCCTGATCAATTAGGATGCGCCTCACTTGGCAGTCTCCAATCCTCAAAGTTACCACCAAAGCATCATTGTGCGGATGTTGTACCATGTCTAAGTCCTCGTTAGTGAAGGATATCATTGGCCCCTGATATCCATGTATCTTGGGTTTCTTCTGTTGGGCCTGATAGACATGTTGTAGATACCTTACCCTCTGAGTCTTCCCTTGTACTTCGTTCTCGTTGACCTTCGAGTGAATCACATTGATTACCCGAGGTCCATCTGCCTGCTGCGGTAGGGGTGGTGGAGGTAGTGTTGCTGGTGCCTAGGGCAATCTCGCGTGCTCTTCCCTTGACTTCACCTCGTCTACTAGGTTTCTCAAGTGCCCCTATCTAACCAGATCCTCCAAGTGTAACTTCAGAGCCCTACATCCTTGAGTCATGTGCCCATTCTTGTCATGGTAAGCATAATGTTTCCCAATGCTCCTGCCCATGTACTCGCCAGGGACCTTCTTCGATGCTCTGTAGTATGACTAGTTCCTGATCCTCTCCAAAATCTTATAGATTGGAATCCTGAATACCGTGCTGACAACCTATATAGCCCTCATTTCTATTTCTAGCCTGTCAACGCCAGTATTCCCTCGGTCTTGCTTCGGTGAGCCATTTCTCCTTTCTTGTTTTGGGGTATTCTTCCATTTCGTGTATTCCTCTGCTCTGGCATACTTCTCAATCTGCGTCATGAGCTCTTCTATGCTCTTCGGTAGGGTTTTTGCAAGTGATTTCCGAAGTGGGCAATCATCATCAAGGCCATCCTTGAAAGAAACGACCGCCAGCTCCTAGTTACAAGCCGAGATCCAGTTGTAAACCTTATAGTATCTCTTGGCGTAAGCCCTGTGGCCTTCGCCATCGTTAATATTTAAAGCCAATAAGGAGTCCACCTTTAGTGGCTACGACTTGTTAGTAACAATTGGCTACAAACATCTCAGTCAGGCCTTTCCAACTCTTTATACTCTCTTTGGCAATTTATGGAACCAATCTGTTATTATTTCCTCGAATAACGAAGGAAATACTTTGCACAATAGTTGCTCGTTCTCACTCTACAAAGCCATTGAATTTAAATATAAGCCGGCAAAAAAGTTCGGGCCGGACTTACTATCATAAACTAGAAACCTCAGCATGTTAAACCGCTTCGCCACCTTAAACGCATCCAACTCCACTGAGAATGGCATCTTCAGCTAGGCGTTGGATGTGATCTCGGCATTATGCCTCTTTCTCTGGAGGTAATCTCTCAGGTCCTCCTTCATTCGTCTGGGGGCTCAACTATCAATAGACTTAAGGCTTTTCAGTACGTTGCTTCCGGTGTAATTATGCATTCTCTTGGACTTCCATTCGTCCACTGCATTGTCAAAACAGAGGCCTTGCCCTTGGATCTGCCGAGATCCCCTGACATAGGTTTCCTTGGTCCGGGGTGTCTTCTATGACTTGCCTTGTACTGACTCTGTTCACCCAACATCCCGTGATGGTCGATGTGAGTTTCCCTGTCCCTTGCCATATTGTGGGATTGTCTTCTGTCCTCTTTTCAGGGCATCAGTTTTGGTTGCTGGTGCCGACGCGTCCTGCAATGGGAAAAATGGTTGCATCACGTTGTTTTGCATCATGAAGTTGACCATTGTCTGCAGGCCTGTCAACTTGTTCACCATGTTCTTCATTTTCTCATCCATTCTCAGACATCTATCCTTCTATACCTGGACATCACTTTCATTGTAGTATTCATCTCGGCTACCCTTCTTGTTTACGCCTTGGCCCTTGCTGGCATTGTTGGGCCCGGGATCGACCCCTTGTCCTTCTTCGTTATTGTTCTCTTCTTCAATATTAGGACCCATATGTTCCTTCTCACTGTGGATGTCATTCCCAATTCTCACTTTATGTTTGTTGTTGGCCATTTATCCTTACTAAGTTTCCATAGACGGCGTTAAATTGTGGGTGTTGATTTTCGACCATATAACCAAACATGGAACTTAGTTGGAGAGCACCAGTAGAATAGATTGAACTAATAACCTGCCAACAAGGTAATGTGAATATCGCGACGGTTCGTCCACCAGGGGGGCACTTTAACGATCAAGTCATTCAACTTATCTCTCAAAGATATCAAATAAGTACTCAACGCCCAAAAAAAACATACCTGAGACCCATAGGGGTGCCTCACATTTTTAGTCAACAGTGCCAAAATCTCCTAGAAGTCTCACTTCATAGAACTTAAGCACAATGCTTCATCTCGGACTCAGCAGGATATGGGTCAACTCTTTAAGAGTCTTATCCTTATCCAGACTAAGTGTCCGCTTTTACCTATGACTCTTGTCCTGTATCTGAATATCTCAGTATTCGGGCATTATCGCAGATCATCTCGGTAATGCCATGATCACTTCGACAAATATGACCATTTCACATGGCACCTTGGCTAGCATCTCAGCGCCACGTTAGCTACTTGATGTCTTTCACAAAATAGTTTCCCACACTTACATATGGTACACACCTAATATGATCAAAAAATATTAATAAGATTATAAGAATTTGTTAAAACGGCAGTATATGAGATTAACAAACTCTGTTAATATAAAATAAAAATGCTAAAGATGTCAAATATTTTACAAAAATCTGTACTCAATATAAAAGGTTGAAAACGTCATTAATGTTACATTAAAGGAGCAATTATTCATTGGCATTGGGCAGTGACGTGGTACTGCACCAAATCAATTCAAATCTTTCTTTTGTGTGGTAATGCACCAAATCAATTCAAATACTTCTTTTGTATGGGACCTAACTATTTTGTACGAAACCACGTGAATTCCACGCAAAATATACTATAACATTTTCTTAGTTTAGTGACATTTGAAAGTGTCACAAAACTATTCTTCTAATGATATTTTTTGGTATCACTGCTGGAAAAATGACTTTTAGCGGCGTTTTAAAAACGCCGCTATATGTATGAAAAACGCCGCTAATTCCTTTAGTGACGCTTATCACCAAACGTCGAGGACGCGGCCGTCGCTATAAGTTTATGACGCTTTAAAAACGTCGTAAAATTAGTATAGGCGGCGTTTTTAAAAACGCCGCTAAATGCGATAAATAATGATAAAATGACGTCATCCAATATTTAGCGACGTTTTTAAAACGCCGTGATAGATTTTTTTATTTTAAAAAAATGTCCGTTGGCACTGTAGTGGCGTTTTGAAAAAACGCCGTTATAGCTCTTTTTTTAAAAAAAAAATTGTTCTGAATCTGTTATATTTAACTAAAAAACATACCTGTAATAAAACTGAAAAATAACAATAATATGAATAAAATTTTACAGCTACTTCAATATATTGACTAAATAAACATTACATGTTTGATGGTTTCCATAACGATTCCCCTTGCAGTAGAAATTTTCTTCCTCCTCTTGATGATTTCAATCGAACAAACAATTTCCCAAATATCCCATTAAACAACTTCCCACATAAAAGAATCCCTAATACCGCTTCTCTATATTCTCCAATAGCATGGAAGGAAGAAGCTCTTAAATATAAACACTCAATGTTTGAGCTTTCAAGCTTAACCCAACGGATAAATCCTTGATGGCATTCCTACAACTACTGGGCATATCCAACTTAAGGATTAGAGTTAGCTGAGCTAAGCTGTTCCAATGGTTTAGTATAGATTTCAGACAAAAAAAAATAGCATTTGAATTATTCATCAATTTCAGACTAAGATTTCTACCTGACATATACAATTAGTATGGCTTTTTAAACATTAATTCAATGTTGTCTTTTAGATCTAGATTTCCGAAATGGATTTGTGAGTTTTAGTTGTGACCAACTAAAAATTAATGTAAAATTTTATCATACACCAACCTTCTACACTGAAGTTGAGCTGACTTCCAAGGCGGAGGACTGGATTCTGAGGGTATAAATGAGAACCAACTGCATTCTGAAGAAATTCACAATTTAACAGTGATTTTAAATTGCAAAGAGGACTACATAAAAAATACCAGAAAAGGCTTGCACTGAAAGCAGAATAAAAAAAATAATAAATTGAGGACTTATTTAAACATAATCTAGAATTATTATGAACTCATTGGAACAGAGAGAAAATCATAAATAAGCTCACATGCAGTCCAAACTAAAATTATCCATGTAAAAGTAAAACAATCTCAGACACAGAGAACTGAGTGATTCAAAAATAAATTTCTTATAAGGTTTTAATTTATAATTGCAACAAATAACTATCAGCCATTAGATCTGGCTTCAGCATTCACTTAAAGAATTCCAAACCTCTATCAACTTCACTTTTTCATTATTACCACACAACATGATTGAAGTTACCAGTGTGTGTTTGAAGTTACCAGTGAGACCAAAATGACTACGGTTGGAGCTGTAATTAAAGTTATAGTTTACCTTGAACTTAACTGAAAATCATGACTTCACATAGAACAAAAACTAGAAGAAAAAACTCGAGTCAGGAAAAAATCATGTCTTGTAAATGACTTTGAGTAAAAGTAGACATATACAATTTTCGAGCTGATTTTCTTTTGCATTGGAATCAAATATATAATGGCTTTGAGTAACATATTATATTACTCATTGTTTTCACAGTTAATTAATATTTCAAAACTATCCATTTTATATAGTTTATCTGATTTCGAAACTATTTGTCAAACCTTTCTCAAACCTATCGAGTCTTTTAGATTGCGAGGTATAAAAGTATGACCCCACAGAAATAGGAGAAGAAAGGGCTAAACTAATCTGAAATAGACAGGGAACTTACGCAGTGAAAGTGTTTTGGGGACGGAATAGATGGAACATCTGAACCAGCTCGTTTCTGGGGACTTAAGCAAGACCTAGTTGTCACCCCTTCAACTGATTGAATGAGTATATCTTCTGTTGTTTTTGAGATCTCAATCCTTGCATCTTGCCCTGCCCTGAGATGTGGCATTATTTGAGGAAAAGTAGACATGGCTTGCATTGGAGCTGGTGCTGGATCTGAACATGTAGCCACAGTTGATGGTGTCTTACAAGAGGGCGATGTCTTTTTTTCTCTCTGGCGTTTAGCGGGTTTAGAGCATGGTGAGTTGTGATGATTCGATGCAATAGCACCAGTGTGTGAACCTGTCACAAAATGACCAAATGCTCCTGCTGCACCTTGGTCAGGGTCAGCCGCAAGCTTCTGCTGAAGGGAACGACATTCCTTTTTATTCCTGTAATGTGGCCACCGGACGATACTATACAGCCTACATTTGCGCTTGAATGTAGGTATGCTAACTGCATGAATCCAGCTTCACTTATTAAGCATGTTTTAGAGACGAACCAGATTATAAGCAAGATAGACTAGACAGTGTAAAAGCTTACCACCAATTTTCTCTGCAGCAGCTTCACGTGTCAAACCAATGAGTGGTAGGAGTTCTGTAATTGTAATTTTCTTCTGTGAACAAGTTGTAGTGCAATTTTTGTTTGCACTAACAACATTCCCTCCAATGTTTGCAGCATCAAATCTCACAGATGACTCTTGTTCTGAGGAATCAACCTCCATAATCTTCCCTACATTTGGAAAGGCGTCAGGCTGAAGTGCAGGTCCATGTTCCATAGAGGGATTGATAATTTTTCCATATCTTTCCTCTTCTGCAGAACCCATCATTGTTGCCAATTGTAAGTCCAAAAGTGGTAATTAGTAATTTTGGACGTATTGATTTCACTACAAACTAAACACAACAATGATAATTTTATCTACATAAACAACAATATTGGTGAGATGCTAACCTCTGATAAGTCTTGAACTTTATTGTTTTGAATTGAAATGCTAGCTAACAGTTTGCTAACCAGCACTAACATCTCACTAGATTTTTTCTATTACTGCTCAACTATCTACTAGAGTTAGATTTTGACATACTAGTGAAGGAACAAGGAGGAAAACTACTAGACATTTCAGCTATACAAATATAACCTAAACTGAAATGGCAATCAATGAATGATACAAAAGTAATCGATGTGGTGGTACAAAAACTAAGCACAATGTCACCCCACTTGAGAAAAGAAAAAAAAATTACATGTTTTTTAAAGGATAAACACTATTATCATGTAATGCTATAGATGAACCAGACAATTATGATGTCTGGAAAACAAGCTATGAGACGTACTTGTGTTTATCTTGTCCTGTTCTTGAAGGCTCTCCTCCATACCCTTGACTCTCAGCACCTTCACTCAATTTCTTGATGACAGTTCCAAGTGTCATTAGGCTTTTATTAATGTGAGAACCTTCTTTCAAACGAACACCTTCAGCACCCATCTTCGCAGCACGCTCTGAACCAGCAAGGTCCACCAAGTTCTAAAAATAGACCCCCCAAAAAAAATGAGATGGATGGAGAAAATAAGCAAAATATTGTATATCACAGCAACAAATATCTAACAATTATTAGCAATCCAAAAATAAATATTATAGGAAGTATAGAAAATTTTGATGAAGCATACCAAAACAGATACACGAATAGCATCACAAGAACTGCCACTATCTTCATCTTCACTTCTCTCCTTACTCTCAATAATCTATGCAAATGGAAAATAAGCGTACAAGATTGCACAATTATAAAAATTAGGATATCAGAAAGATTAGTAACTTTACCATATGAAAAATTGTATGTGATCTGCTACTGTACAAATTCATATTCGTCTCCCCAATATGTCGATGAGCTGTAAATCAAAATCCAAAAGATAGAAAAAGAAAGTGTTCAAGGATAGAAATGTTCAAAAAAACCCACATTTACCGAACTCCATAAGTTCAAGGATTTGCTCAGGAGAGGCAACGATTTCTTCTTTTAACCTAGCAACAAATATTCCCCGCTTCATGCATGAAGGAAATCAGAATAAATGGACAGTCAGTCATTATTTATCAGAACAATATCAATATCAGTTAAGTAGGTCCTAGAGGGAAGTAATAAGTACCTCAAGACTTTCATGAATCTGCAGTTTTCGTGTCAAAGGATGTATGTGCTGCAGATTAATCACTACAATAAATTTAAAAAAAAAAAATTGCAAAATCTCAGTAAAGCATGTACTCTTAATGTCACTAACACTAGAGCATAACCTCAAACCAGCAGAGCAACAAGAAGAAAAAACCTACTCAACACAGTTTTCTGCAAATTTGCAAGCAGTAGAACCATATCAACAATACAAGGACCAATTAACACAGCTTACATGGTCTGTGATGTATAATTGGTAGCATGACCCACAAAAATAAATGTTACAAATGACCTATAGTAATCACTATATCATCAATTTTCTGGAAGGAATAATCCAGATCATTCTGCTTTATCCATCCCAAATGAGTGTTATGTTTGAAAAAGCATAAAACTTATGAAAGCAACAATAAATCCAAGCACTGTCACTGCATCTCTTTGGCATAAACTCTTCCAAAATTGTCATTACAGTAGCAACAGACCATGTTGGCGTTAACGCCAAAGATCTCATTTATGTTCTATTTTGTTCCATTACTTTCTAAAAAAATTTCTTTTGTTGCCAATCAAAAAAACAAAAAACAAAAATTACCAACTAAAACAGACACCATAAGCATAAGCAGCCCCAGAATACTATTACTGAATCAAATTCTATTACAATCAAAGAAACTGAAAAAAACTGTGTCAGTAACAATGATGCAGCACAGCTAAGCGGGTTTGTGCCAAACTAGGAAGGAGTGAACTAACTAATTTGTATATATCTTTTGAATTATGCCACCCTATATATTTATGTTTATTAATTTTAATAACATGTCGAAGAAAACTACAATTTTAAAATACTTGCAAAATAAAATTCAGAGCAATTTTTTAAGTAAATAAGTCATAAAAATGCCAATATGGAAAAGATAACTGAGAAAATGGAAGGAGAAGTGTACTCACAGATATTGCAAAACTTCATTCTAGTATATAAGCCTAGGTATTTCCCCACTCAGTGTATTCTGTGCAAGGTCTCTAGAATACATATATTGAAACATATGCATCTCAGTCATCATTCTAAAATTAGATAGAAATTAAATGAGAAGAGAATGGAGAAAGAGGACTTACAAGAGTTTTAAAAGCAAAAACAGTGCCTACAAGAGGGCAAGTGTAGAGAGAGAGAGAGAGAGTTTGTAAACATAAAACTAGAAATTTACATGATCAAAGTAAAGTGTCCATGGGGGCCAATGGGCGTTCAAATTCATACCTAACACCAAATTTAATAAACGTTACTCAATACAGTCTATGAAAGTTAACAGTGGTTGGTGGTAGTGTTCGGCTGTTGGGAATAGACAATGAAGTGGAAAGAGGTGATAGTGTTTGGTGGTGAGGGTTGGGGTAGGCAGAGAAGGAGATGGTGCCAGAGGGGGATGTGGCTGTGATTGATGCCAGGGGAAAGAGCAAGGCTAGGCAGATATGCCATGAGAAACACAGAAGAAGAGCATGTTAGAATGTAGCACCAACTTCTCGCAGAGGTCAAATGCTTGAAACAAGAGACATTTTTCAAATTGAACATTGAGCCAATTTAACTGCAACTTGTCAATAGAAACACACCATCAGTGCCATAATCATAGATACTAAAATACAAACAATTATAAGCATACATATATACATGAGTACATAGAGAGACTTTGGTAATGGCTTCCCTCAAGGCATCACTCTGAAGCTTACTGTAGAAGAGGAAAAAGCGGCCGCGTTAGAAAGGAGGGGAATTTTCTTTAATTGCTGAGGCACCAAAGCAACTTCCTCCAGAAGATACTGAATCAATCAAGGGAAGGGGATCAGAGAAGAAGAACAGCATCTTCACATCTTTCATACAATATAAAATAGTCGGGGAGAGACTATCATATCCTAAAAAGGAATTGTACCCGAAAGAGAGATTGGAAACGCCTTGTGTTTGTTTGGATGTCAATCCTGTATATATATGTTTAATGTTATAGAATAGCAATTTCTGTCATCTTTTTCATTTTCCATTTTTTAAAGTTTTTGTTTTTGCAAAAAACTTATTATAAGAGATAGTCCCTGCAGATGATAATAGGGATAAAGGGAAGGAAACAGTCAAGGACAAGGGCGGTGCACCATCGTTTAACTAAGCTGGACTGTCTGTCGGTTTTGCACTGGATAGAACATAGACAATCCAGTATCTTACCAACAATGAAATTAAGGGTAAAATATTGCACGGGTAAAGGTGTCTGACCAATGTGAACCTCCACATTCCCACCCTCTAAAAATCTAGAGTTCCACTGTACTAATGAGTAAAGCCCTTTTGTTCCGACAGTCCAGAGTAGCTAGGCACCCTGTTCCCCGTTTCACAGATCCACCTCTCTCCCACCACTCATTTGTTTGAATCACTAACCATATAAAATGGAGTAAACAAAATCCTATAAAATGGGAAGGCCATCTTGAGCCAGTTTCAAGCTGGTAAACGAAGGCCATAAATGAACAAGAACAACAATGCCAATGCATTTGAAATCATTTCTTGGGAAAACAGTAACAGGACCAAAATTGACAAAGATAAATAGCTCAAATTCTCACAAAGATAGAGAGAAACGTCATAAACTAAAAGGTGACCTTAGCATAATCCTTAAGAAATAATGCTCTTATTAAACCAGTGGGAAACATTCCACGTTAGATGAAAAGTTGCCTTCAATTATTTTCTTTTCATTTAATGGTCAAGAGACTCAAGATAATAACCCTCCATAATGAAAATGATAGCTTTAAAAACAGTAGGAATGCTTCATTTGATCTAAGAAAATGGAGAAAATAAGAGAGTAGTTTTAGGTTATAATTTTGGAATCCTACAACAATCATATATACATGAGTACATAGAGAGACTTTGGTAATGGCTTCCCTCATGGCATCACTCTGAAGCTTACTATAGAAGAGGAAAAAGCAGCCGCGTTAGAAAGGATAAAAATGGAAAGTAGCAATAGAGACACCTGCATTTCTAAAATGTAAAAAGAGCAAATGAATGCATACTAGTTGTTCGAATTAGATGACTATAAAATGTAAATGCACTGACTTTCATACAACATAGCCAGAATTTTTTTTTTAAAAAAATGCTAGTGCCTAGAATACAAGAAAACTAATAAAATGTGTTAATCTGGGTATAAACTGGAGCATACCCTAAAAATCTACGAAAAAAATAAATAAATAAATAAATTTAAACAAGCTAACAACACACATTCAAATTCTGAAGATAACAACAGCAATAAACTAACAAGTTCCACTTTCTAAGAAAGATCAATGAAAATTTTAAATCCCAGGCTCAATCATAAAGAAAATTTTAAATCCCAGGCTCAATCATAAAGAAAGATCTGGATCAATGAAAAGGTACCATGAATTCCAAAAGTCTTTTGTTGCAATAGGTCAAAAACATTCACACCAGTAAACATTCACACCATTGGAATGCCTTTGATGTCCCTAATACCTAAGGTTTACATTTATTGCCCTGTTTGTATTTTTCATTTATCGACATGTCTATTCAAGGGGAATGCCTAACCATATTTCTTAGGAACTGAAAATTAGCAAAGTCATCTGAGGAATGACTTTGATGTCCCCAATACCTAAGGTTTACACTTCATTGCCCTGTTTTTATTTTTCATTTATCGGCCGTCTATATTCAAGAGAATGCCTATGCCTAACCATATTTCTTAGAAACTGAAAATAACCAAAGTTGATTAAACCAAAAATTTACCTTGGATTGGAACCTGGTCAAATCAAAAAAGCATTCAATTGTTGGCTCTCCTTGTTTCAACTCATTGTAAGCTTTTCCCACGCCCTGAACAAAACACAGCAAAACAAAGATCCGAAGGTAAAACCCTGAGAGAGAGAGAGAGAGGGTACCTGAGATGAAAACCCTAGACTAGGACCTTGAAAGAGGAAGACAATAATAAAAAATCAAGGTAATTTACAATTATGTACCTGGGCTGAAATAGCTTGAGTGACTGAAAATCAACACACAGATAGATAAATATTATATCCAACAAAAATTATAATTAATTACTAAAAATCAGCGTAAAAGACATCTGATGAACACAAACTAAATAAAATTCAATGGCCATTTTAAGTTCTAAATTTGCTGAGCATATTCATGCATGTGATTTGCAGGACGAATTATATATATATATATATGGCTATCGAAGTAAGGTCTAATTATTTTTATAGAGCAGCAAAATACAGTAGATTACAACCTTATCACATTGCAATAAACTGGAGTACCCTCTCAAAGTTTCCTAACCAGTGAAATACAGCTGTGCTACTAACAAACAAGAGTCTTTTGTTGCAATAGATAAAAACATTCACACCAGTAAATGAAAAGGTGCCATGAATTCCAGAAGTCTTTTGTTACAATAGGTAAAAAACATTCACACCATTGGAATGCCTTTGATGTCCCTAATACCTAAGGTTTACATTTATTGCCCTGTTTGTATTTTTCATTTATCGACATGTCTATTCAAGGGGAATGCCTAACCATATTTCTTAGAAACTAAAAATTAGCAAAGTCATCTGAGGAATGACTTTGATGTCCCCAATACCTAAGGTTTACACTTCATTGCCCTGTTTTTATTTTTCATTTATCGGCCGTCTATATTCAAGAGAATGCCTATGCCTAACCATATTTCTTAGAAACTGAAAATAACCAACGTTGATTAAACCAAAAAATTACCTTGGATTGGAACCTGGTCAAATCAAAAAAGCGTTCAATTGTTGGCTCTCCTTGTTTCAACTCATTGTCAGCTTTTCCCACGCCCTGCGTGATTCTTCAAATTCAGATTGAAAAACAAGACAGCTCCTCAAAGGCTGAAGCATAATGAGAAACAGAAAGAACTAGTAGCAAAAGGTATCTGCATTGGTTATCAAGAAAATATTAGAAAACAATAAGTTCCAGAACCATTTCCATCTTATCAATGAAATGAAATAAACAAATTTGACCCAAATCAGCATGTAGTTTATGCATCTTGTCTTTTTTCATGCATCAGACCAAGATACTAGAACCCAGCTACATAATGTGGAATCCAAATATTAGGGACTGTATTTATTTCATCAAAATTTTAAAATCTTTCTTATCAAAAAAATAAAAAAACAAAAGCTATTTTCCAAGAATTCCACCATGTTGGCACTGAAAAAGTATTAATTTCCTCATGGTTACGACTACACTTCAGAAAATTAGCTAAATGAAAGCCCTTCAATCAGGGGGGGAATCTGGACAGAGATGGATGGGGATCAAAAGTATTAATTTTTAGATTTTGTATGCAATATCTTATTGATTTTTGGCTTACGCATGTTATCTTATTATTTGTATGTTTTTATTTAGTGATTTCATTCATCACAAAAAAAATGTTAGTTAAGTTCAAGTTGTTTGGTTTATAACCGTGTATCAATCGAGTATACATAGTTGGAACCTACATATTACAAAAAGCATTGCAACAATAACATTACGACAATCCTATGAAATCTGGAATCAACACATTGTGGGCCATAAATGCTTCATAGTTTTTTTAAATAAAATATTACTTTGTCCCAAGTGTTCCCTTATGAGAAAAAACCAAACAGAAAAAACCAAAAAAACAAAGTCCCCAAATTGGGCCATAGGTAGTGAGAAAATTGGCAAATATAAACGACAATCACTGAACAACACAGAACATAGTATTTTAATTCATGCCATAAAATACTCGACTTACTCCCGTAAACACAATTATAGCATCATCCGCCTTAGTCCCATCTTTCGGATATGATTCACGCCATCTCTGCCAGATTGTCCTCACACTAAATTTTGGAATGAACTCAACCTTCAATAAATAAAACCAATCCATAAGAATCAAAAGTGCTGCAACAGTCAACTCCTCCTCCTCCTCCTCCTCCTCCTCCTCTCTCTCTCTCTCTCACACACACATCCAGATTTGACGCAAATACTTAAATCTAGTTCAACGAAGCAGAGAGTAAAGAAAAGAAGAAAGCCACAAATCAACTTGTAGTTTCTTGCTTACAATTTCAATTTCAATAGCCAAATCGAGAGAGACGGGAAGGAAGAGCGAGAGAGAGAGAGAGAGAGAGATACCTCACTGGTGCAGATGGCGGTGGCGGTGCGGCTTCGAAATCGAAATTACAGAGTCAGATGAAATCGAAATAAGAGAAATCGAGCAGGTGCAAACGGTGGTGGAGGTGGAGCTTCGAAACCGAAATCGCTTTGAATCTCAAAGACGAATCTGTGAGAATGATAAGGGTTTAGAGATGAATCGAGAGAGAGAACTTCGATTAGGGCTACAGCGAGAGGTGAATCGATACGTTCAGACGGTTTAGAGAGAGAGAGAGAGAGTGAGTGAGATTTTAGGGCTACAAAATAAGTATTATATTTTATATTCACCGTCGCCCATTTTTAAGAGAGAGAGAGAGACAGGACATTCGAAGACGTTTTCAAACGCCTCTGGTAATGAAACGGTGCAGTTTTGATTTTAAAAAAGCGACGTTTAAAAAACGTCGTTAAATATTGTGTCGCCAAAACTCATTTTTCTTGTAGTGTTTGATTAGCTTCTGGACTTTTCTTGACCTTTTGTGTTATTGACTTTTTCAGTGACCTAGAGCTGAAGCCTGTTGGAGTTTTAGAGGTGAAACTTGTGCAAGCAAAAGAGTTGACAAATAAGGATTTCATTGGGAAGTCTGATCCTTTTGCTGTGTTATACATACGCCCGCTGCGTGATAGAATGAAAACTAGCAAAACAATCGTACGTCTGTATTTTCTCATTTAGGATGTCCTATGAACATTTTAATTGACTTAAAGGATGATTATGTGTTGTTTCCTCCAGAACAATCAGTTGAATCCGGTGTGGAATGAACACTTTGAATTTATAGTTGAAGATGCATCCACACAGAACTTGGTGGTAAAAGTTTATGATGATGAAGGGCTTCAGACAGAAGAACTCATTGGATGTGCTCAAATACGGCTAAATGATCTTGAGCCTGGTAAAATAAAGGACGTGTGGTTGAAATTAGTTAAGGATTTGGAGGTCCAAAGAGATATCAAAAACAGGGGTCAGGTGAGAACTATGATCACCCTTGTTTTGAATGATTCTACTTTTTTCTTCTTTATTGTGAGATGCTTCAACTTAGCCAACTGTCTCCAGATGTGACAAGGGAAAGGAAGATATAATAAAACATGGTGCAGCAAACTTTTTGATAATGTAAGCTTTAAAACTCTCGTGTGCAAGTACCTAGATTACCAAGACTTGCTTCTGTATTATGAAGAGTATACCTAGTATACCTGAGAAATTTGCAGCCTTCTCTCCTATAGGCTATATCAGCATTGTTAATTGAACGTCTAGGTAGTTTTTCCCTGCTTGGTAATAAATGCATCTGGAGTGATGGGGCAGGTTTGCTGTTTAATTCAACTGTTGACCATGAACGTTATGGATGAAACTCACTTAGTTTGAGTTTCATGTACACAAACTGATCTTGTGGGGGTTGGCTACATTTCTTAATGGGTTAATGATTCATTTGCATATTACTGAGTCTTGTCGTTGATAGTGTACCACTCTAGGAAACATGGATATAGACACATGACACGACATGTGGAATTTTTTTATTTTTTTATTTCAAAACAATCCAGGACATGACACACCAACAAATAAATATATATTTTTAGATGTGTACATGAAAATAATAATTTATTCATAATTTTTACATTACAAATACGTACTTTTTTATATCAAAATAAGAATAAATCATTTCCACAACCAACATACTGCAAAAGAATTGTGAACAAAAAAAGTGATAATATCTATTTTGGAAAGCTTTGGGTATGATCAAGTTGAAAGTTTAGAATTCTCAAAGTTCAAGTATGTGGAAGAGGGATTAATAGGGTATAAATCTATATTATTTTTATTTTATCATTAAGTCCGAAAATAAATTTATCATACTTGCAATGTATTTCTTGTGTGTTTTCCAAGTATTTGAAGTGTGTTCGATTCTAAAAATATTTAAAAAAGAATAGGATACGTTTGACTGCGTGTCCAACACGTCGAGGAGAATCCAACAAGAGTTAGTGTCCAACATGCGTTCGACATGGACACAACATTTTAGAAGTGTCCGTGCTTCTTAGGTTTCACTTCGCTTCTTTGAATTAACTAAAAAAAAAAAAGAAAAGAATATTAACAGTTAAAGTAACCATATATAGTTCTACACCTGTTAGACTCCTAGGGGCTGTTAAAATTTATAATGACAAATTACTATGAAGAGTTGGAGCCTCTTTCATAAATTAAGAGTTAACTTGTTATGTAAATGTTTTTGGAATTGTTAGGAGGACCAACCATCTTTACATCATGCTACTTTCAAGTCTTTTCAAGATTCATAAGAGCCCTGCAAAGTCTTGTCCAGTTTCATGGTTTCATTATTTGTATCCTCTTTCCAGACTGTCACTTTTCCCTTGAAAATAAAATTGCATTGCCCACCATTCTGAATTAATCATATGTCATTAACTGCTTCTAATCATCAGTAACAAGGTATCAATAAGACCGGCTTCCTGGTCATTTAGGAACTTGATTGCTCTGCCAAGTCAAAAACCATAAGAATCAATTGACATCGTCATGATTTCATACACTTTGACCAGGGACAAGTTCAGGGTGTGGTTTGAGTAAGAACTTGTTCTTGTGCTGCTAGTAAAATAGTGGATGACAAAACTACAGATCAGAGAGTTTAACATAATCTTAACTTTTTGGGGACTCATTGTATTAGTTTGATGCAAATTTGAAGTTTATGTTGCATGTCACATTAAAATCTATATTTGTTTTGGAAGTCTTGAAGCTTTGCTATTTTTTGTTTTCAGGTGCACTTGGAGCTATTGTACTATCCTTTTGGCATGAAGAATGGGTTTACTAACCCTTTTACCCCAGACTTTTCAATGACCTCATTGGAAAAGGTTCTTAAAAGTGGTGTGGAAGGAAAGGAAGCTTCTGAAAATGGAATAGATGTAAAACACAAAAGAAGGGAAGTTATTGTAAGAGGAGTACTTTCTGTTACTGTGATATCTGCAGAAGACTTGCCACCAGCAGATCTAATGGGGAAGGCTGACCCCTATGTAGTTCTCACCATGAAAAAAACAGAAACAAAAAAGAAAACCTGGGTCTCTCTCTCTCTCTCTCTTATTTATTTATTTTTTTCTCTTGATTTTGGCATTGGTGATTTCCTTGATTTCTGAAGTTGTTTGTGTTCTTAGGTGGTAAACGAAAATCTAAATCCTGTATGGAATCAAACTTTTGACTTTGTCGTTGAGGATGGATTACATGATATGCTAATTCTGGAAGTCTGGGACCATGATACATTTGGGAAGGTAGAAATTCCTGCTTGTTATATCCTTTTTTGCTTTCATTCATTAATAGGATGATTGATGTGAAGTTATGAACCATGTTTATTGATTGACATGAATGAGAAGTAGCTGTACAACACTAATAGACCATTGATTTAAAGTATATAGATGTTCGAGTCCTGCCTGCATTGGTAGCGTCCACAAGTAATATATTTTTAAATGAGAAAATAAAATTATAATTGAACAGCAAAAAACCAGTAGAAAAAGAATGAGGAGAACCAAACAATAGAAATTGCATTGGATTGGAAAGAGAGTTCCAAAAAATCCATGGGTATATTGTCTGCAAGATGTTTACTCCTGCCTTAGTCTTGGTATCTACCTCCAAGTTTGTACTGTTGAAGTGATGAACCCAACAAAAGTTGCTAGCTAAATAGAAACGTTTAAACATTTTTGTGAAGTTAATGTGAGTAATCTCAAGGTCTAGCATGCATAGGGAAATCTCAAATATAATTGAAGTGTTAACCAACTTTATTTTTGTTTTAGAAACCCTCCCCTAACGAATTATGCTTTTGGATTACATTGAGCTGCAGTGTTGCTTAGTTTCATGTACCAACTGTGGATGATGGATTGTGAGGTGGCCAGATTAGCCTTCTAGGAAGATGGTGCTCACTTAGATGACCGGAGGTCACTGGAGATGGAAGAGTATAGGTGTCACAACCCCAACCCACCCCAAATAGGATGGTATAGTGATCGGCCAGTAGTCCTTAACTACCAAAGGCCTAACTAGGCAAAAGTAAGCTGGACTCTTAATATAATTAGGACAAAATTTTCTGTTTCTAAGTGTGAAAGCCATTAATTGCTTATATTGAGTCCATTTGAAATATCCATTAAGAGCAGTGCATAACTATATGAAATGAAAACATACATTTCTCTTAGACCATCACCTTACATTATTACATGACTTAAATGATAAAATAAAATACAACACTTATGACATAACTTCACAAAACCAACACAAGCACACAAGACCGACTTTTAATCAACTTCTCTATACTTGAACTCTTCATCACCTACATATATATAAGGGAGAGGGGTGAAATACAGTAAAGTGGTAAATGAATGAACACTGACAAGCTTTTAAAAGCAT